CAATCAACAAAGGAATGCAGAATGGAGTCGGATTCATTACAATAAAGACTTTTACTGTCTCTTTCAATTACACAGGCATATAACTCTTTCCTGGTGACTAAGTTTATTTTCTTTGCATGTTTTGCTTATCTGAGTGAAGGCTAGGTTCCAATTAAAAATTTTCAGGTTAAGATCTTTTAGCCATTTCTTTTGACCGGTGGGTTAAATTTTGGTCGCATTAACGTACAGCTGGTAGTAATCTTTGCTATAAATTTTCTTTAAATCTGTGACAATGGAGTCAGAGACTTTGTAGGAAGTGCTACCTGAGAAATTATGCATGTCAACAGGAGATACGGTTCTCACCTTCTCAAGCAGATATTTTGGTATCGCTGAAATAAGTTGAAGATAATTTAAAAAAATTACATTTTATGTTACATCTTTGTTGGAATGTTTGAAATGATAAGAACTCTCCATTACAATCGAGAAGATCCTGAATTGACAAGACCACCTTTTCTGACCAATTTGAGTAGAATATTGAATTGCCATCGATTTTAATTTCCTTGTTGTTAAACAAAAGCAGGTCTGACAAGTAGTTGGGTCTGTATAGGGTCTTTAGTTCAAGAAAGTTCATCAGCATTTGCTGGGAAAAAAAGTGGAAGGCCAGATTTCACTAAAAGCTTATTGTCATAGTTACAGAAAAGGAGAAAGTTGAAACCGCTAAACTTTTCAAATAAGTCTCAGGCGAGTGTGGATCGACTGTCAAAAGCTTAAAGGTCCAAGCTAAGTTTCAAGAACCTCTCAAAGTCCAACCCTACGTCCTCGTCGTGAGAGGTGGAAACAGGTAATGCTGGCTAACAGGGCTCTGGTGAAGCTGCATAGGCCAATCCCCCGTGCAGTGGATGTAACAGATTACAGAATCATTGATCAATTTCAACTTAACCATCGACTTGGGGAATAGGGGGTCGTCACACAGACAGCATATGACGCAGCGTAGGGAAAGCCGTCAGGATCCTACACAGCTGATTGCTCTTCTTTCTCCTAAGTCAGCATCCCTATTAGGCACGTGGAATGTGAGAACTATGTTCCAACCAGGCCGTGCTACCATCATAGCGCATGAGATGAAGAGGTACAAGTTATCAATCCTCGGACTGAGCGAGACACGCTGGACCTCATCAGGAGAGATGAAACTGGCAGATGGCACAACTATCATATATTCAGGCCATCAGGACGACGGAGCACCACACACTGAGGGTGTCGCATTCATGTTAACATCAGAATCTCGTAGAGCCATGATCTCATGGGAACCTATAAATTCTAGAATTATCACTGCCAGGTTCAGGACCAAACATAAGAAGATAACCGCACATATTATCCAGTGCTATGCTCCCACAAATGATTCAACTGAGGAGGACAAGGATGATTTCTATGGTGTGCTTACTGAAATAGTTGACAAAGCAAAGGAAAGAGATCTTGTAATGATAATGGGTGACTTTAACGCAAAGATAGGAGAGAATAACAGAGGATACGAGCAGATTATGGGTAAACATGGTCTGGGGACAATAAATGAAAATGGTGAACGTTTCGCAGACTTCTGTGCAGACTGCAACCTTGTCATCGGAGGAAGCTTGTTCCCGCACAAAACAGCACACAAGGCAACATGGGTATCGCCTGACCACGTAACAGAAAATCAAATAGACCATATATGCATCTCACAGAAGTTCAGGCGATCTTTATTGGATACACGCGTCAAGAGAGGTGCAGACGCTGCATCAGACCATCACCTCCTAGTTGCCAGAGTCAGATTAAAGCTGAAGCGTAACTATCAACCACGAAATCCAAGGATAAAATACAATGTGCACTACCTCATGGATAGTGATACAGTACAGAGCTTCCGGTTGTCGTTGTCTAACAGATTTCAGCCCCTACAAGATCTGAATATAGAGGATGAATGGAGTGACATCAAAGAGAGTATTAACAGAACATGTGTAGAAGTATTAGGGACCAAGACAGCTGAGCACAAGGAATGGATTACACCAGGAACCATGGGGTCTATCAGCAAAAGAAAACATCTGAAGGAAGAGTACAACAGAAGCAGGACAAGGAGAGAAAAGGCAGAGGCACACAAGAGGTATGAGGCAGCAAACAGTGAAGTAAAGCGTAAGATCAAACAAGATAAAAGGGAATATTATGATACCCTAGCAACGAAGGCAGAAGAGGCTGCAGCACATGGCAATATGAAGGACCTTTATGATACCACCAGGAAGTTGGCGGGTAAATTTCAACAGACTAGCAGCCAAGTAAAGGACAAAGAAGGTAATATCTTGACTAGGGAAGATGAGCAGCTTAAGAGGTGGGCACAATACTTCAATGATCTCCTCAATCGTCCTCCCCCGCCAGAACTTCCAATAATACCGGAGGCTTCAGCTGAGCTGAATGTGAACTGCGGGAAGCCATCCAAAATAGAGATTGTGCGCTCTATCAAGATGCTTAAGTCAGGGAAAGCAGCTGGCCCAGATAACATACCTCCAGAGTCCCTGAAAGCTGACCCCGACCTATCAGCAGATATCCTCTATGGCTTGCTTGGAAAGATATGGGAAGAGGAGGAGATGCCCCAGGACTGGAACGAGAGCTACATTGTAAAACTGCCAAAGAAAGGTGACCGCCGGGAGTGCAAGAATTACAGAGGTATATCCTTGATGTCAGCGGCAGGGAAGGTGCTGAACAGAATTATCTTGCTTCGTCTTCAGGGGGCTGTGGATGCTACACTGAGAGATCAGCAGGCTGGCTTCAGGAAGGACCACTCCTGTATCGACCAAATAGCCACACTTAGGATAATCATTGAGCAGTCAATTGAATGGAACACTTCTCTTTACGTTAATTTCATCGACTTTGAAAAGGCTTTTGATAGCCTCGATAGAAGTGTTCTTTGGTGCCTTATGAGACACTATGGCATACCGGGGAAATTCATTCGAATCATCAAAAATTCCTATGATAAGATGACTTGCAGAGTCCTTCATGCTAGTGGATTGTCAGATAGCTTCACGGTCAACACTGGGGTCAAGCAGGGTTGTTTGATGGCACCATTTTTGTTTCTACTTGCTATGGACTGGATCATGAAGGAAACAACTAGAGAACAGCGAAATGGGATCCAGTGGAACTTATTGGAGCAACTTGAAGATCTAGAGTTTGCTGATGATATTGCCCTGGTGTCAAGTAACAACCAACAAATGCAGGACAAAACAGCACGGCTAACAGCTAATTCCATCAAGTTAGGCCTGCATCCGAATGTGAATAAGACGAAGGTTATGAAGGTCAACTGCACCAACAACAGACCAGTTAAAGTGAGGGATACCATCTTGGAGGAAGTAACATCTTTTGTCTACCTAGGCAGTGTAGTCAGCATTGACAGAGGTTCCGATGAAGATTTCAAGGTCAGGATAAACAAAGCCAGAGTAGCTTTCAATACGCTGAGGAAAGTGTGGTCCTCCCATGTCATCTCACGGAGAACCAAATTTAGAATTTTTAACACCAATGTCAAAGCAGTCCTCCTCTATGGCTCAGAAACGTGGAGAACAACTAAGCAAACGTCCCAGAAATTGCAGACCTTCGTCAATAAGTGCCTTAGGCGAATCTTAAAAATCAGTTGGACTGACAGGGTAACGAACGAGATGCTGTGGGAATTAGCAGGCGAGGAACCAATCATAACTCAGATCTCAAAGAGAAAGTGGAGATGGATAGGTCACATCCTAAGGAAACCGGCTAACAACATCACCCGGCAGGCACTACGTTGGAACCCCCAGGGCAAGAGAAAGAGGGGTCGTCCCAGGAACTCCTGGAGAAGAGGTGTAGAGTCCCAAATGAGAAACTGGGGCCACACTTGGGCCACTTTAGGAAGATTTGCCCAGGACAGAACCCGATGGAGGACGGAACTGGTTAATGGCCTATGCTCCAACCGGAGCTAAGGGAATATATATATAAGTTTCAAGACCTAAACAGGATTTCGATGTTCGGAGCACATAAACCACCTTTGGAATAATCTCGGTACATAACATCCCGTTTTATTTTGTCTTGTTTGTTATTCCAGATAAAATTGAAGATAGCACTCTTAAGGTGGCTCGACTGGATTTTTCAAAAGTCATACTGTTCAAGTTTGAAAATTAACTACGACGCCACGAGCAACGTTATGGTAAAACAATTACCACAGCTGTATTACAAAAAGATGAAAGTTTGTTGTGATTGGTGTTATGTTGACATCGGAGTTTCCATAGCAAGGTAATGACGTCATGACAGTTTTTGCTTTCGTTCGTATTTCTCAGTACCATGAGGTTTTTTCGTAAATCGCTCACTGGAGCTTTTATCTCTTGTTATTGCCTAGATGTTGGCCAAGTTTGAACAAATTCAATGAGAGCATTTTTGAAAATTTTGAGGATGAAGTTTTGAGGGTTAAAAATACAGTAAAAACATTGTTGTCGAGATAATTTGGTGATATCTAAAGAAAACGATGCGCCTTGGGAATGCCGCTATACCACGTAGTTGCTTTATTCCACTTCAAATTGTATGTAAAAAGTTGGCGAGATTGCTCTTACCGATTGTGAGAAAAAAGGGTTTGATGCCTTTGCATTCAGATGCTCTTGTTGTCATTTTTGCGTATAATTTGGTCTATGCCAACAAATATTGTAATATTTTAAAAACTGCTCGATAGATTTTTTTAAAAAATCGTCAGTGCTAAGTTGTATTTTCATTGTATACGGCCTGCAGTTTTCAAGGTTATTGAAAATGTGGAAGTCAATAAAATTGGGCCTCAAACGTACTAATTTGTTACTCCCCATATCGTGTTTACAAGTGAGCGACCTCATTATTCAGAGACATTGTTTTAAATTCTCATATCCATGTGCACAACTTTAGCGAAAAATGCATTTGCATTAAAGAGAAAGCTCGACTACTTTCGGATATTTTTCCGAAGCATGCTAATATGAACTGAAATTTTAGCATTAGTCACGCAATTATCCGGTAATGCAGCAATGCCGAGAGAATCTCTGACTAGAAAAAGGAAAACTGCTGTTCTGCAGAACAACGTGGCCGTAGGAAAGAAGGCTAGACGAAGTGAATCACAGGTATGGATGTTTTCATAACGATTTTCTACATTATTTCAATGAGGGTCTCCATTTGTCAGTGATTTGTTATATAACTAGTAAATTTTGTTTACAGGATGCTGAGGAGCAGCTACAGTCTCAACCAGGGCGTCCAGCTAATTACAGATCCAAAACGGTTAGGAAAGAACAATGCAAGGCAATGAGAGAGCAGCGATGGAGTGATAAAGTTAGAAATGAAATAAGTTTAGGCAATACAGCCGACAATGTTCCGGAGGGACCCACCTTGAGATCAAGTCTGCCGTACACAAAAGCTGTAAACATGGATCAGTGTTATGTGGTTAATTTGGAAATGCTAACAACCGCTTTGAGCGAGTGTGTGAATTGTAAACAAGGACCCCTAGATTTACGTAATAGTTTTAATGTTCGCCCGGAAGGAGTGTGTCCAGTACTAAAAGTTAAATGCACACAATGTGAGTTTATTAACATCGTACGCCCGGCCGAGCATCATCGTACTGGAAAAAGAGGCCCTCCCACCTTCGACGCTAATTCCCGTGCTGGGCTTGGTGCACTGCATTGTGGATTGGGACATACGCATACCTCTGGATTTCTTACAACACTTGGTGTACCATCAATTTCCTCAAGCAATTTCAAAAAGCGGGAAAGAGAAAGTGGAAAAGCAGTAGAAGAAGTGGCTAAAGATTCTTGTAATCAGTTTAATGAGGAAGAAAAGCGGTTGTCCACGACTGGAAATGAGGAAGTAGTAAAACTCGGAGTGTCGTACGATATGGGCTGGAGAAAGCGAGGACGTTGTCACGACTCGTCGTCAGGAGTGGGCACAGCAGTGGGGTTACATACCGGAAAAGTCATTAGTTATGCTACTCGCAATAAAATGTGTAGGGTTTGTGACGAAGCGGAGAAAAAGAATAAAGAAGCAGAAAGCCACGACTGTCGAAAAAACCACGAAGGATCCTCGAAAAGTATGGAGGCAAACGTAGCAGTCGAGCTTTTTTCAAGCGCCCCGAAAAGTGGAGTGATTTACTCGACTTATGTGGGAGATGACAACAGCGTCACAGAAAACCATCTCAAAACGCTGGTTAACTACGACATTGATAAATGGAGTGATGTGAATCATGCAAGTCGTACACTGGGAACGAGATTATACATGGCTAAAGGAAAGATTAAAGGGTTGACTCCTAACGTGATATCCTACATCCAAAAGAGCTTCACCTACTGTGTTAACCAAAACAAGGGCCAGCCATCCTCATTACTCGAAGGGCTCACCTCTATCGTACCACACGCGTTTGGCAAACACGATAACTGCAGCAATTCCTGGTGTGGATACAAAAAAGACCCTGAAGGCTACAAGCACGGAAGTCTTCCAGGAGGCAAGGACCTGACGGGCGAAGATTTACGTGCAACCTTGGAAGAAGCTATTCGACCATTTCTTTCTCATGACTCCGTGAAAAAGCTGGCCCCAGCGGGCTCATCACAGAGAAATGAAAGTGTAAACAGTTCCATTGGCTCGAAAGCGCCGAAAATAAGACATTATGGAGGCTCGCAAAGCAGCGACTTTAGAACCGCTGCAGGAATAGCTCAGTTTAACAAAGGGAACAGATATCTGACATTAGCCACGGAAAAAATGGGTCTGGCACAGACGCATATCACAGAACAGAACACCGACAAAATTGACAAGAAAAGGAAAAGGGATGGCGAGCGAAAGTCAACAAAAGAGTTCAAAAAAGCGAGAAGAAACTCTCGAAAGAAAAAGAATCAAAAGACCAATTCTGCTGAGAAACGCGAGTCAGCAACGTACGAGACAGGGATCGGCTGGCAACAGAGCGACAAAGAGAAAGCCGCCATCACGAATGCAACCATGAACGATCTAAAGGCATGTCTGACAAAGGAGGAGTTTAATGATTATACCGATGATCTCCCAAAATCCAACGAAGGGAACAGCCAGGAAGTCTCCGAGTTACCTGTAATCCAACAACGTTCACGTTTTCTTCATTTGGCCCTCGACATAGAAACAACAGGTCTAGACCGGAAATCGGATATTCTGCAGATTTCATGCATTCCACCAAATGCTGAAACCAAATCATTTTCGGTAAACCTTTTTCCAGAAAATCGAATTATTGGCCAGTCAGCGACGCAAGTCCACGGTATAAGTGTAGAGTTTTGTAAGGGCAGAAAAACATTATTGAGAAGAGGGAAAGAACTGGAGGCCGTATCGCAAACTCAGGGTCTCAGTGATTTTTGCAGTTTCCTAAAACAGCAGTCCCGTTCCTTCCAAGTTGTCCTTATTGCACACAATGGTGAAAAGTTTGACTTCCCAGTTCTGATCAATGCTCTGAGAAGGAACAATCTCCTTGAATTGTTCCTGGCTACTAGTGTTGTCCTTGTGGACTCTCTAAAGATTGTTTCGACAGAAATGAAGCAGAAAGGTAGCCCTTTGTATTCCTGCAAGAGCAAATCTTTGTCCGACGTTTACGAAGTTTTACTGAAAGAAAAGTTTGATGCACATGATGCACAAGAAGATGCTACCGCCTTGTCGCGTATTTTATTTCAGTCCCCTCTGCAAGTATCTGTTGAAAGAATTCAGACGCACGCAGTTCCTGCAGAACTGTTCGTAAAAAAAATGAACTCAGCACAAGAGGCAAAATCCCGAAAGTCCACGCTGCATCGCCTCCCGGTCTCCGAAGGAATGAAGGAGAAAATGGGAAAGGCCGGGCTTGACTACGAAACAATGCAGGGTGTTTACAAGAAAGGTGGAACGAAAGCTCTGTTAGCGGTGCTAGCTCTTCCAGAGTCCTTTGAGCAAATTCAAGAAAAGCGGAGTAAGCCAAGGGTGACGAAAAACCTAAACATACTCACAGCAGTGGTTAACTATTTTGTACGAATGCAATCTTAGATTAAGGTTTTCATTGATGAATGATATCGATGTTTTCATTTACCGGCGGGAATGTCTTGGTGATTATGATTTAAAAGCAAGAAAAAGAAAGCTCGTCAAAGTTTGTTACAGACAACTTACAGGATAATACTGTCGCAAATGCCGAACCAAACCCCCTTGTTGTATATTTTTTATTTTGCTAAGATTATGTTGGCTATTAGTATTTTTTTTCTAAGGAGACATTAGATAATTATAGTTTTGTTTAGAGATGTAATATCTCAGTGGTGAATGTTATTATCATTAGTTGGCAGCAATGCCTCTCCTTGCAGTTTCAGGTGATCGATGTAAAAATTAGAAAAAAAGAAAGAATATCAGAGTTTGTTCAGAAAATTGTTTATTGACTTTTATCTTCCCGATTCACGTTTGTTAAAGTTATAATATTTATTTAAGAATAATCGCTTATATAAATACATATATGATTCTGTATATTATAATTGTTAAACAATAATACTTGGTAATTAAATGAACATTTCAGATAAGACATGTAATACAAATTTAAATAAAAGGAAACGCGACTATGCCACGGTGAGAAAATAAATAAACAAAATATATGGCTTTTTTTCCTCGTCTGTCCTCGTCTGTGAATGATTTTCTAGCTCCGAGACAACTGTTAATTGTTTTCACGAGCTCCGTGGAGCTTTCTTTGCGAGTGCTCGGTCAGTTGGTTTTTCTGCAGAGCAACAGTTTTCCGTTTCCTCGTCAGAGATACCCTCGGCATTGCTGCATTACAGCATAATTGCGTGACAAATGCCTTTAAAAATCAGCTCATTAAAATTTCAGTTTATATTAACATGTTTCGGAAAAAATCTCCGAATGCAGTCGAACTTTCTAATTGATGCAAATTCATTTTTTGCTGAAGTTGTGCACGCGGATATGAGAATTTAAAACAATGCCTGTGAATAATGAGGTCGCTCACTTGTAAACACGATATGGGGGATAACAAATTAGTACTTTTGAGGCCCAATTTTATTAACTTCCACATTTTCAATAACCTTGAAAACTGCAGGCCGTATACAATGAAAATACAACTTAGCAATGACGATTTTTTAAAAAAATCTATCGAGCAGTTTTTAAAATATTACAATATTTGTTGGCATAGACCAAATTATACGCAAAAATGACAACAAGAGCATCTGAATGCAAAGGCATCAAACCCTTTTTTCTCACAATCGGTAAGAGCAATCTCGCCAACTTTTTACATACAATTTGAAGTGGAATAAAGCAACTACGTGGTATAGCGGCATTCCCAAGGCGCATCGTTTTCTTTAGATATCACCAAATTATCTCGACAACAATGTTTTTACTGTATTTTTAACCCTCAAAACTTCATCCTCAAAATTTTCAAAAATGCTCTCATTGAATTTGTTCAAACTTGGCCAACATCTAGGCAATAACAAGAGATAAAAGCTCCAGTGAGCGATTTACGAAAAAACCTCATGGTACTGAGAAATACGAACGAAAGCAAAAACTGTCATGACGTCATTACCTTGCTATGGAAACTCCGATGTCAACATAACACCAATCACAACAAACTTTCATCTTTTTGTAATACAGCTGTGGTAATTGTTTTACCATAACGTTGCTCGTGGCGTCGTAGTTAATTTTCAAACTTGAACAGTATGACTTTTGAAAAATCCAGTCGAGCCACCTTAATCGCGGGAATGTAGGTATTAGGAATTGTGAGCATCGAGCCCGTGTATATCAGATGAGAAATACCCAAACGTTTCACAATGAGGCATTTACCAAGTAGGGACAGGCCACGGACCCTCCAAATATCCAATTTTGTTTTCATGTTGTCAATTTTCCGGTCTATTTTTTTCTTTTTGTTTTCTTTCTCATTACAGGAGATAAAAGTTCTCGGGGCTCTTACTGGATCAGCTGTCCACTTTGGTCCAAAGGCTTAGAGTTATTAAATCTCCAGGGGCCTAACCATATCGCTTTTGTCTTTTCCACATTTAGCGAAAGACCTGGGATACTCCCGAATTGATCAACCAGTATTATCGAGTTTTGTACCAAATTTAAGTTACTTAGAAATAGCGTGGTGTCATCCGCGAATTGACTGACCTTGTGTTCTGTCTGGAATAGCTTAATCCCCTCTACTTTGTTATCTTTCCTTATCTCAGGAGCCAATATTTCCACCCCTAAATAAATAGATACGGGGAGGGAGGGCAACCTTGCCTAACTCCCCTTGATACTTTAAAAAAAATTATGTTGTGAATCCATTATGCAAGACTGCATATTCGGAATTCGTAGAGAGCGTCTTAATCCACTGTTTAAACCAAGGTCCAAAGTTGAAAAGACTCAGAGTTTGCTGGATGAAGTTCCATTCTATTGTATCAAAGGCTTTCCTAAAGTCCAATAAAAGAAGTATACCGGGGATATCTTGTTGTTCCGTTTGTTCCATTATATCATTAATTAATCTAATATTTCGCCAATGTATCTGTCTTTCATGAGGCCCATCTGATTGCTGTTAATTACGTACGAAAGAAATTTTTCTATTCTTAATGCGATGGCTTTTCATGCAATTTTAAAGTCTGCATTTAACAAAGGTATATGTCGCCAGTTTGATAACTCGCGTAAGTCGGAATTTTCTCTTGGGATCATTGTTATTACTCCCCTACATTGAGAGATAGACATCTCACCATTTCCATACGCTGCCTTAAGGCTGTTTAGGAGATCATTTCCTACAATGCCGAAAAAAACACTTATAAAACTCAACGGTAAATCCATCTTCACCTGGAGACTTTCCAGTTCCCATTAATTTTAGAGCTGCCCATCATTTGTGTAAGGTTAATTTTCCTTCGATTTCATTACATTGTTCTCTTGATAGCTTTGGTATTTGTTGATTTATGTTAGTTGTAAACTCTTGGAAGTCCTCGTTTGTACCGTTATTGGTTGAAGTATACAGGTTTTCATAAAAAAGTGTTACTTCCTCCATAATTTGACTCTCATTGACAGTTACGTGGCCGTCAGCCATTCTGAGCTCAGAAATGACCTTCTTATTGAAATTCTTCTTTTCCAGATTAAAGAAGTATTTTGTTAGCTTTTTACCTTCCTAGATCCAGCGTACTTTTGAGCAAAAAATTTCACCCTCTGCCCTTTTTTCATAGATACGACGAAGACCAATTTTCAAATGTTCGTATTCTTTTTCCTTGGATTCTGAAGTTTCTTCACCACTGAAAATTTTCCCGTCTAGAGTTTCCAAGCGCTTCTCAAGCTCATTTTCAATTTCCCGTACTTCCCTAGCCCTGTTTTTAGTATAAGGGATAGTGATACCTTGAATTTCCATTTTTATGAGTTCCCATTTTAGTTGAGGGTCCTTGATATTTTAGTATTTTTGGATAATGTCAGGATAGCTGTCTGTTATCAAACTAACATAGGTTTTATCTTTCAATAACAAATTATTGAATTTCCAAAGGCCTGGACCGTGCTTGCTATTTATGAGGCTGAGGCGTAATTTAACAGCTTTATAGTCCAGGGCTATTGGAGTTTTTGTATCCACTTCAGTGACTTGACAGGCGATAGATTTGGCAACCAAAAAAACTCAATCCATGATTTTAATTTTTGTGCGACTGATTCATAAGTAAAGCTCTTTTTATTTGTATTTTTTTTTCCTAACGAGATCTGTCAGATCAATTCTTTCATCATCGAAATAATTTGACGGCGGTATGCAGTCGGCTTCCACTGAATACCCCCTTTTTTGTCGATAGTCTGGAGTGTGGCATTCCAGTCACCACCTATGATCAGATTTGACAACGTTGATTTTGACATTAATGACTCTTTCAAAGTTTGGGCAAATTTTTGCTGACCTACGAGAACGTTTGGTGCATAAATATTACAGATGGACAAATTTATTGTTTTTAAATATGTATTAAAAGAAAGTTCGTTTTAAATAGGTATGAAATGACAGTTACCCAGAGTCGCATTTCCTCTTCAAAGAGTCGAGTTTCCATTCTTTTTTCATTATTTCTGTTCTCCTCGAAAAAGGTACCTGGTCTTTTTCATCTATTCAAAGCACAATTAAACCAATAAAACGTTCGCCTAGCGCGTTTACGGTTAATGATCCCAAGATTGTTTTGCTTTTAAAGTACATGTCCAACAGCGATAGGACAAGGTGACATGGGTATGCCATAAAACAAAAAATAGCGGTCTACTTGAGTTCAGCGAGCATATAGGTCTTTATGTTATAACTTTTAGAGATGAATCACGGCAAGCACACGTTCCAAAGATGTTGTCATTTTGGATAAACGACCAAGAAGCATGCCAAACAAATCTGAGATGAGCAGGCTCACCACCACCAGGCGAATTGCTTACATATCCTTTACAAAGAACCACAACTCATCGCAAATCGGCGAATTTCTGGTAAGAACATCTATGCCCCTGGCAGGAAAAGACCGTAGCAGGTAAGTGCTGCTGCCCACATAATCTGTATCAAAAGCTAGTGAAATGACTATAGTGCCTCAACATAGGAAGAAGCGTGGAAAGTACCGTTAAAGCAGCGAAATGCTGCAAACACGCAAGATCTAACGCAAACGTGGATGGTAAATTTGGTAAAAGATGAAGATAACAACTACCTAAGTTTGGATATTCTCATTTGCCCTTTGCTGGATAATGCATGATTATTAAAGGGAGAAGTTTCATGTTAATCACTTCAAGGAGTTAAAGGGTTAAATAAAGCTCAAGTATATATATCTTAAATAATGATTTGCTGTTTGAAACAGGATACTTAGTACTGACTTAAACTAATGTTGATGTAATGATTGTGAAAAATCAGCCCAGAAATCGAGTGCCACATTCTGTCTACACTGATGAGTAAGTTTGTTTATCTTTTGTCTGAAAGATCTTTACAGCCAATACGCTTACGTATGATCAAGATGTATCCATAAGATAAGAGGACAGTCTTAGTCACTCTCACGGCACAAAAACCCTGATTCACCATTAATTTTCCAAAATGGTGAAAG